CTCTTCAAAGAGTTGCTCAGCTCTTCCTACCGGGCCACTCTGATTTCTGTTTGTCCTTCTTGTTGACCCTTGGGATACAAACCATAGCTCAGGACATCTGCCTCCCTCTGCCCAGACCCACGGGTGATTGCAGTGTGGAAACCCCGCTGGGCTGTAACTGCCATCCCACCAGGGAGGCTCCTCTGGGAAGGCACCTGTGAAGCAGAGGGACTGGCATGGAGTCTGCAGACAGGCGTGGGAGACTGTGACTGTCCTGCTAACGCCCTTCCCGGCCTTTTGCTTCTGAATGCTAAATAATGAGAATTCTTAAAAATATCTAACATTTGGCCGGCGCTGCGGCTCACTAGGCTAATCCTCCACCTTGCGGCGCTGGCACACCGGGTTCTAGTCCCAGTCGGGGCGCCGGATTCTGTCCCGGTTGCCCCTCTTCCAGGCCAGCTCTCTGCTGTGGCCAGGGAGTGCAGTGGAGGATGGCCCAAGTACTTGGGCCCTGCACCCCATGGGAGACCAGGATAAGTACCTGGCTCCTGCCATCGGATCAGTGCGGTGCGCCGGCCACAGAGCGCCAGCCGCGGTGACCATTGGAGGGTGAACCAACGGCAAAGGAAGACCTTTCCCTCTGTCTCTCTCTCTCACTGTCCACTCTGCCTGTCAAAAAAAAAAAAAAAAAAAAAAAAAAAAATCTAACATTTATCAAGAGGCAAAAGCAACTGCCAGTTGTCCTTTCAGTGTAAACTGGGATTGTCTAGCAGGCCCATATTCCCTAGGGATTATTGCATTTTTTTTTTTAAAGGAATGTGTACTCTTATTTGACTTCCTATTTACTACTGTATATTTTACAACCCTGCAAGGGGAGAGGTTCCCTTATAGAAAGTGACAGCCATGCAAATAATTACTGCCTGAGAGTATGTAAACAGCTCCCATCTTATCACAGCGCCAGTGTTTCTGTCTCATGGAAAAGACAGCGTGGAAGGTGGGGGTCACTGCCTTGTAGGCCACTAAGCCGTTTTGATTCTATTAGCAATTTCATTTCGGCATTTGACTCTATAAATCTCTGTTCTTTGAAATCTTCTTTGGACCAGACTTAGAAAGAACTGGTTTCTGTGTTCATTAAACAGATGGATAAAGTCCTTGACCTCACATTCATTTCATAATTGTGCGGCAGTCTCGTTTTGAACTTTTTGAGAATTACGCTCTGATAAAAACCACAGGGCCTGCTGCAGTCAGGACCTGGGACCTTCGAACGCACGCCCTCGTCTCGCACCGTTCACAGCTGCTCACCTCCCGCCCCGCACAGAGAACAGTGCTGGTGCTTTAAGAAATTCAGCTGGCCTGGGAGAGCTTAGGATGGTGGAACAGCATTAGTCACTCTATCCACAAAGTCCTTACTCTCGTTTTGCCCCAGATATTAATGAAGAGTTTAAAAACACTTAAAGACATTGTTTAAAGCACCCTTCAATATTGCTGATCTATAAAGGGGAGTGAAGTAGAAGCTGTACACGGTGTACAGGGCTTCCTAAAGTGAGATCCACAAACTCCCGGGGCCCTGAGGCCTTTCCAAGGGGTCTGCAGCTAAAACTATTTCCTTTCTGCAGCGATGGTAACACATGGCTTTGCCTGTTTTGTTGTGCGCAGAAGGTGCTGAGAACAAACCGCATCCTCCCCGCCCCCCACACCCGCCCTGGCCCCCAAAAGCCTGAAAACCCCAAGGGAAACACCTGCTGAGCCCTGTCTGGCGAGCACGCGGACAGAACTGTCCATCTTATCAACCGGGTCAACTGGCCTCGGCCGACGTGCACAGAGGGTCTGTACTGTCGTAGCCACCCCACAGCCATCCCAGGCAGACTCGCACAATCCTTTGTTCCTGGGCCACACGTTCCTTACCTACTCCTGAACAATGAATGTACTTCTTACAATGGATCTGTACCCCTCTTTTCTGCAGCCTCCAGCCAGAGACCGCGCTAGTAGCCAATGACGCTCTGAGAAAGGACTCTCTACTCTGCCTTTTTAGGCCAAGAGGCCATTGTGTGATGGTAAGTGAATACTGCCTGTTGTAACACAGAAGTCCGGTCTAGAATCTGATCATGTTAGAACACTTCCCCAAGACTCACTGAGAATCAGAAGGCTCGTGTCTCCTAGGGCTCAGATCGGAACCTGATTTATTTCCACCAACAGTGCAAAGACAAGGGTGAGAAAGGCTGTGGTCCAGTATGCAAATCCAGGCAGGGGTGGGCACTGTGGTGCAGCAAGTAAGCCGCTGCCTGGGACGCCTGCATCTCATATCCACGTGCTGGCTGCAATCTAGCTTCCTTGCTTATTTGGATGATGGGTCAATGCCTGGGCCCCTGCTACCCACCTGGGAGATCCAGGTGGGGCGCTGGGCTCCTGGCTTCAGCCTGGCCTAGCCCTGGCTCTTGGGGGCATTTGGGGAGTGAACCAGCAGTTGGAAGATCTTTGTCTCTCTACATTTCAAATAAATAAATACATACTTAAGAAAAAAAACAACCTAGTACTAGAAGTACTCGTAGAGAGAAGTAGTACTCACAGAATAAGAGGGAAAAAACAATTGTACTTGAGAATGTCGTTGATGAAGCGGTAATGTTTATTTATGTTACTGAATCACAACCCTTGAGCACACTTTATTTTTAATATTTTGTGTGGTAAAATAGGAAGTAGGCACAAAGAACTGCTATCCTGCGAAGTACAAAGGCTTCAAGAAAAAGTACTTGTGAGAGTATCTGAGTTGTCAGGTGGATTAGCCGCTTGTTTGGAAACTATATTTCTATGTGAAGGAATAAACTATGGTTATCCACAGGCAGGGATTTGGTAAACATCCTGTCAAAAATGAAGTGAGCTGGTCACTCCAATTGATGGTCTATTTGCCAATGAAAAGATGAGCTTTCAAGGGAAAATGAGCATTTTGGCGAAGTCCCACCTGCTCGGCAGGAGCCGACAGCTTCCCCCACACTTCAGAACTCTTCTGACGATGCTGCACAATGAACTGTGCCGATGCTGTACAGACCGCACAGCTCACTGAAGCAACAGTTTCCACACGGCCAGCGCCTGGCGCTATAAAATTATGCTTGGGTGAAAATCCCATTCAAAGTACAAGACAGATCAATGCACTGTAACAGTCGAGAAAGTTCACTGCCTTCTACATTCCACAAACCCTGCAGACACTACCATTACTGAGTTCTGGTGCGGAAGAGTACCTGTAGTTGAGTGAAATGGTTATTAAAACTTGGCTCCCTTTGTGCGGGTACTGGCAGTTAGTCCTCTTGGTGGTAACCAAGACGACTTCACAAAATGTGATCACACTTCGATTATGGTGTATCACCTTTAGATTGTCTTCACTGACCGCCCCCCACCCCGCCCCTGCTACAAAGTAAGAAATACTCAGAATACATTGCTCTCATCTCCCCAGCCCTCTTGTACTGTTTGCCATTTTTGCCATCTGTAACTTTAACAGCCATGAAACCCTAATAAAATAGACAAAAATCTCTATTCCCTCTTGCTTGGGAAGAAGAAGGGATAATCAATCTCACCCTTGGTTCTACTTCTCTTCCCTCGTTTTACCTCTTGATTTCTGTTAGTGCCGTTATTTTTATGCTGTCAAGAGCTAAGACACTTTTGTTTCATTCTGAAATTCAAATTGAGCCCTTCGCGTTTGCCTCTGTTTTAATTCTACATATTTAAAATCTTAGCACACAGCGACTGTATAAATATTATTCATGAAAAACCAAGCAATGTGATGGGGCCCACAGGAAAGGAAATGACTTCTCGGTCATTAAATTCTTCCCATCAAAGGAGGCTGTTCCAAGCATAAAGGCTTAGAGGCTCCCATGCTGGTCCTTTCTGACCTTCTTGCCGGGGGCCGCCTCATCGACACTCAGGCAGGGAGGAAACGTGCTACACCTGCGATGCCCAGACCACTGCTGCCATGTGAGGCTTCTGCATACTTGGAACCTGGCTCCTGTGGCTGAGGACCTGGGTTTTAATGTTATTTCATGTTCATTACTTTAAACTTAATTTTAAACCACACCACGTGGCTGGTGGCTATCAGCTCTAGGCCACACTATAGCGAGCAGCCTCATGTCCCACCGCTGCAAGCCTAACCCACGCTCATCAACCTCTCGTCACAACAAACGTGGGCACCACTGGCCTTCAGGTACCACCTACCTCTGATCTTCCCCTGCACTCTGGGAGATCCCCACCTCGCGGCGCCCAGCCAGCCACACACCTGGGACGGGGAGCAGGGGCAGAAGCTGAGAAGCCCGGGCCCCTCATACACTCTCTCCCTGATTTCCTTACAGGCTACAGAAACTGGGTTATTGGCTGGGTGTTCAGGGTTGAAATAAAACCGGTTCCTGTCTTAGAGGCACTAAACCAGGCCAGCAGCTACGTGCTGGGTTTGCTGTGATTTTCATGAACCTGACGTAGTGTGGGGAGCAACTCGGACTAGACTAAGTTACTGGAATTAAGACTTATTCTATGCATCTGCTCTCCCACAATATGGCGCTGAGAAGGGAGTAAACAACTTCTACACAGCTGCCTCTCGCCAACTTGAGTGATGACCTGCAGGAGCTGATCCTGCTCCTGATTGGAGGAGAGCAGCATACTCGGCGTGTGGGTAGCAGAGTTGGGATTGGTGGAAGAGGACTATAAAGGAGGAGAGAGACAACATGCACGAGGAACATCTAAGGGGAACATCCGGATAACATCTGAGCAGCCCCCGAGAGAGCCGGCCGGCGGTGTGCCGCTCCCCCGCAGAGGTGGGGAAAGTGGCAGGGGGAGCCGCCCTTCCACGGAGGTGGAGGGACGGCAGCCAACCCGGGAAGGGCCGAGCAGACAAAAGAACAGCGCAGGGTCCTGTGTCGTTCCTCCGCGAAGAGGGGGAGCGACAACATAGTGATCATTTCCACGGCTATCATGGCAACAGAGCTTACCTGCTTCTTCTGTGAGAACAATGAATTTTAACAGTGTGGCTGCCTTTAACTCACCTCCTTTTGATAGGCCAGTCCAGCTTCATAGAGTTTAATAAAGAGGTGCTGAGTCCATCTGTAGTAGTCTGGCAGACACGTAGTTACTTCCTGCCAAAAATGGGGAGAAAATTGTGAATGGGCCTCTGTAAACATTCTCCCCACCAAGTACGCATCAGTCTTGCCATTCAATTTTGAAAGCAATCAAATCACAAAAATATTTACCAGCCCATAATACGTTCACCAATTCATAAAGTGAGGAAAGCAGCAATTTTTTCTGGAGAGACGCTGCTGCAATGCCATCACCAGCACCCCTAGGGCGTGGTCAGCGACGAGAAACTCACCTTCAACTCTTCCGCGTACCCCTGCCCAACCACCCATGCAACAAACAGGTGAATTACACTGTAGGAAATTGGGTCTTCACATTTTGTCAGCACAAACATACGTTTCAAAAGGGTCATAGGAGGGGCTGGTGCTGTGGTGCAGCAGGTTAAGCCTCAGCCAGCAACACTGGCATCACACACAAGCACCAGTTCAAGTCCCAGATGTGCCGCTTCCAATGCAGCTCCTGCTAATGGACCTGGGAAAGCAGCAGAAAACGGCCCCAGCACTTGGTTCCCTGCCACCTGCGGGGGAGACCGGATGGAGTTCTAGGCCCCAGCTTCAGCCATTGTGGTCATCTCGGGAGTGAATGAGCAGAGGGAAGATCTCTCTCTCTCTCTCTCCCACCCTCTTTCTTGCCTGCCCTCCCTTCCTCCCTCCCTCCCTCCCTCCCTCCCTCCCTTTCTTTCTTTTTTTTTTTTTTTTTGACAGGCAGAGTGGACAGTGAGAGAAAGAGACAGAGAGAAAGGTCTTCCTTTTGCTGTTGGTTCACCCTCCAATGGCCGCCGCGGCTGGCGCACTGCACTGATCTGATGGCAGGAGCCAGGTGCTTCTCCTGGTCTCCCATGGGGTGCAGGGACCAAGCACTTGGGCCATCCTCCACTGCACTCCCTGGCCACAGCAGAGAGCTGGCCTGGAAGAGGGGCAACCGGGACAGAATCCGGCGCCCCGACTGGGACTAGAACCCGGTGTGCCGGCGCCGCAAGGCAGAGGATTAGCCTAGTGAGCCACGGCGCGGGCCTCTTTCTTAAGATTTATTTTATTTATTTGAAAGGCAGAGCTACGGGGGAGAGAGAGCGACTGTGAGAGCACCCTTTAATCCACTGGTTCACTCCCACTGGTTTACTCCCAAATGGCTGCAAACAGCCAGGGCTGGGCCAAGCTGAAGCCAGGAGTTGGGAACTCCATCCAGGTCTCTCACATGGGTGTAGGGGGTCCAAGCGCTCAGGCCACCTTTTGCTGCTTTCTCAGGGCCATTAGCAGGGAGCTGGATTGGTAGTGGAACAGTGGGACCTCGAACCGATGCCCATCCAGAATGCTGGCACTGCAGGTGGGCAGCTTTACTTGCTATGCCACAATGCTGGCCACACAATAAATGTCTCAAAAAAAAAAGTTTATTTTGGTGCACAATATTTTTGAATTATAAACATAGTTTTTTCATAATATGCATTTTCCATCAACTTCCTGAAATTCCCCCTATGTTGGGATCATGAATTAATTCATGAATGTCACTCATTTTGAAAACTATCACAAAGTTTGAGAGGAACATTTGCCCACTTTGGTATGATCCTTACTGGAACAAAAACCTTAAGTTTATGCATATAGTTGGAGACCAGGTGCTCCTTTAGATCCATTGTGACCCATTATGTGAATGAGGCCACTGTCTACAGAGAAAGACCAGTTAAAAACCACACCAACTATTAAACCTAGTGAGAAACCAAGTGGTTTAAATTTGCAAGCTAAGCCAATGGTTCCCAAAATTTATTTTTCTGTCCTCAAAACACATTTGCTACAAAATTAAAGAAAAATTCTTAATTAACCAACTTGTAAGGTTTGTAGCAGATAAAACATATAAACCTCTATACTGTCACATGTTTCTTTCCTAGTAACCTTTAATTTCATATATGGAATATATCCATACAGAATGGATGAAGGTGGGGCTGGCACTGTGACATAGCAAGTTAAGCCACTGGCAGCAGCGCAGGCATCCCATACGGGTGCCAGTTCCAGTTCCAGCTGCTCCACTTCTGATGCAGCTCCCTGCCAATGCACCTGGGAAAGCAGCAGAAGATGGCTCAGTGCTTGGGCCCTTGCATCCCTTGTGGGAGACCCGGAAGAAGCCCTAGGTCCTGGCTCCTGGCTCCAGGTCAGCCCAGCTCCAGCCATTGCAGCCATTTGGGGAGTGAACCAGCTGATAGAAGATATCTCTCTCTCTCTCACTGTAATTCTGTCTTTCAAATAAATAATAAATCTTTTCTTAAAAAAAGAAATGGATGAAAGGAAGGGACGTTTCAAATAATTCCACTGTAATGGATTTTTGATGGAAAGCATGCTTCTTTCCTTGATTTCTTTCTTTTCTTCCTTCCTCCCTCCCTCCCTCCCTCCCTCAATCCCTCCCCTCTTTCTTTTTAAAGATGCAGTTACAGAGAGATGGATAAAGAGAGATCTTCCATCTGCTGGTTCACTCCCCAAAGGGCCACAAGCCTGGAGCTGAAATGATATAAAGTCAGGAACCAGGAGCCAGGAGCTTCTTTCGGGTCTCCCACAAGGATACGAGGCTCAAGGACTTGGGCCATCTTCCACTGCTTTTCTCAGGCCCATCAGCAGGGAGCTGGACTGGAAGTAGAGCAGCTGGGACTTGAACTGGCACTCACATTGGATGTGGGCACTGCAGACAGGACTCAACCCGCTATGTCACAGCACCAGCCCAAAGGTATAATTTTATCAAAAGAGCAAACCAAGTAGTCTTCCTAAGATCAATCAATGAGAGTGCTTCAAACTTAGGAGGGAAGAACACAAGGCAGCAACTGAGCAAGGTGTCAGGTAAACTCCTGGTGCCCCGATGGACCTTCCTCCTCCTTTCCTTTCTTGCTTCCTCCCTCTCTCCTTTTTTAAAAAGATTTATTTATTTACCTGAATGAGAGGGAGGGAGGGGAAGGGGGGAGGGAGAGAGAGAGAGAGAATGGATCTGCCATCTACTGGTTCACTCCCCATGTGATCACAACAGTTGGTACAGGCCAAAGCCAGGAGCCTAGAACTCAATCCAGGTCTCCCATGTGGGTGCAGGGGCCCAAGCACTTGGATCATCTTTTGCTGCTTTCTCAGGCTCATTAGCAGGGAGCTGGATGGGAAGCGGAGCAGCCAGAACTTGAACCTGTGCTCCCATGGGATGCTGGCACAGCAGGCAGCGGCTTAACCCACTGAGCCATAGCAGTAGCCTTTAGACTATGGACTATTTTTCTATGTGAAATTCCCAGGTCTTTTTGTGTGCTGTTTTGTGAAAATAGCAAGTACTATTAGAGAATAAAATTTCATCTGTAAATAACTCAACTCTGGCCATACCTCCCCACCCCAAGGCAGCAAGTGCGTAACCAAGCTGCCTGCCAGCTTTGCCTGCCCTGTCATTGTCCTCCACCGTGCCACGCCACAGCAGGGATTTCTGAGCCACACATACGACACAGCCTGCGCCGGCTAACACACACTCCTCGGACAGCAAGTCTGCAGGGCTGTGAGGCTCAAACGATCTCACCTACTCAAGAATCACACTAGCACTGTGTCAGGGGGCCTGCCGCCCCCAACTTCCAAGCTCACCCTTCCCCCATCATCTTTGTCTCACCCGCTGTCCACCCTGCCGGCCTGAAACCAATTGTTCTCTTCAGCTTTATGCTCAAGGAAGTAAAAAAATTCCATTTTTAACAAGCCCAGGACAGGGGCTATGTTTGGTCTGTTTTGCTGTGCTCATTACTGTAAACTTAGGTCCTGGTACATTGAGGGTCCCTAAACCTGTTATTAAATGCAGAATAAGCTAAATATATGGATGTATGCCTGCTGCCTGCTGCCTGCTGGGCCTGCCTGTCCATGTTGAAGCAAGCTTGTATCCCCTGTGTAGGTTACACTGCGGTCCACAGGAATGATGTGGATAGAGGATGGGGGAGGGGTAGAAGATTATGGTAAACATAGTCCCAGAGCTCTACTGTGGCTACCTATATAAAAAAAAATTCTTATCCATTAGAGTTTGAAGATGCATATAAGGCCAATATGGGACGGCAAAGGAAAGTCTTTAAAGTCTAGTGGCCGGGGCCTCATTATTGCTTGTCTTTCCTGGGTACTTGAACAATAAAAAATCAAAATCCTCGTAATGCCTCTGTATCTGCTTCTACAGACCGAGAGCAACGGGCAGCACTGTTGTCCTCATCTAGGTTTATGGTTGTGAAAGTCACTTCTACCTTAAGCAGAAGACACAGGGGACATAGGGAAAAAGCAAAACCAGAGTGCCATCCGGCCACGCACCAGCCCCCTTCCCACCAGCCCTGTCACACGAAAGGCGCGGCTGAGCGGGCAGTGGGGAGCTCAGGCGCCCGTTTCACCCCGACTTCCACTGGTCTGCCCTGTTTCACAGCCTGCGTTTCCAGGCACGTACTTTGAAGGAAAAGTAACCTCAGCTGCTGAGCGAGTACAGTTTGAAAACCACCTTGGGGCTGTTTCCAGTCCCGACGTGGTCCGCGGCTTCCGGCTCAGAGGCAGCTGCAAGTGCCCTGAGGAAGGCGCGGTGCCCCTGTCCATGTATTCCCACGTGCACTCGGGCCCAGCCACGGCCCACTCAGCCAAGACAGGGTGGGTGGGGGCAACTCGCGGGTGCATCGTGAACTCTGTCGGCAAGCGGCACGGCTCAGAAATGTATTTCCAGAAAGTCAGCGCCCTTCTGGAACTTCTCTGATTCGCTCATTAAAACAAAACAACAGCTATTTCTAGTCTTCTCACATTTATCTCAGACAAGTCATTAAAAACGTCTTTCTGAAATGAAACTGCTTCTAAGCTATTATTTTAGCCAACTGGGTAGAAATCCAAATTCCTTTTCGCATTTTCACTGGAACTACGAGGGTCTCCTAGGGGCTTGAGCACACACAGAGATGTTAGCAAGCCTGCCTTCCTCGCTCTAAGGCAGGGGTTCTCAACGGGAAAAGCCTGCTCCTCAGGGACCACCTGGTGGTGACTGGAGTTATTCTGTT